ACTTGGCAGTGGTAGGCTTATGGTTGGACTCGATCTTAAAGGTCTTTTCCAACCTAAATGATTCTATGATTCTAAGAATACCTTTCTGTTAAGGTGAGTTATGTGTTGATCACTTTTAATACTTAAGTGCTTGAAAGATGCCTGAACACTGTACTGGATCTCACTCTGAGGATGCAGTTGGACAATATGGTTTCAGTCGATCTGAGAGTTCACTGCTGTTGAACAGGGGAGGACCTGCAGCCTGCTCAGCTGGTGGAAAGACAGCAAATATTACGTTTTCTTCTGGGTCACTGAACAGAATTGGCGCTGTGAACGGTACAAAAACCAAGGGAGATGGCACAAGGGAGGGGTGGTGAATGCAGGGCGAAGGAGGAAGGGGGTCTAGCAGCTGTAACCTTTCTTAGTTGTATTGTCAAACCATACCCTTAGTCTCTTTTCTGAGACTGTGCTGGTGAGAAATAGAAATATCTTCTTCTTAAGTGTAAATACGCAGGATGAGCCTCAGGAAAAAGTACACAGAAGAAACTTTACAGATTACTTATTGTTATCCTGAATCTCAAAATAACATGGATAATTTTTTTCTTTTTAATGTTACTTGGAAGGTACTACGGCTAACAATTATTAGCTATTGATAGCATTAGTAACCCAAAACTGACTAGAGATACAAGTCAGCAGAGTAAGACCAAAGACTCCACAGCTGCTATAGATCATATGCTACTTACTTCTCCAGATTATTTGGCAGTACCCTGAGTTTTGTTTAATGTAAATATACTTCAGGGATCTAAACCAGGAAAACATGCAATTTCATTTTGTACAGATTTTAGACAATCTCCCTATTGTAATACCTAAACAGCTGTGAGATATCCTCCGTTCAAATACAAATCTCTTGAGACAGTTCTCACAGCTGTAAAAATTAAAGATCTCATAGAGGATTTCAAACATGGCTTGCCCCCTTCTAGAGCTGCATTCTCTCTCCATTAACATTGCCATTGAATTGTTGGCATCTTACTGAAAAGTGCAGAAAGAAAACTGTGTGTATAAGCTTGAGGTTACTTGAATAGTGTTGTTATAAATGTAGAAATTCTTTAGTCTATTTTAGGGTGCTTCTGAAACTTAACTAGCAAATAGGTATGTAAACATCCCTAAACAGTATATGGTCTTTCCTATTTCAAGAACATCTATCCCAAATCGGAGAGAATTCAGTTATAGGGGTAATACTTTTTTAATGAGAATGATAGTAGATTGGTCTGTTCATAAATTATTTTACATTGTCACAAAATAGTATTCGCATTAGATACTAAAATATGTGTATCAGTGAAAGAGTGGGTTTCATTTTGTAGGAACATTTTACTAAAAAGAGTTAGGCTTATAACGGTGTCATGAAATACTGTACTTCTAATTATAATGGACATGGGGGAAAACACAGGAACTGTATAACACATACGTAGAATTGGATTTTCACAAATCTTTACCCACATTTTCCATGTGGTTTCACTAGCTTTTTAAGAGACTGAAAATATTTTCTGTTTTAGGTTTCAGTTTGACATCATTCATGCCAACAATGGTGTATGTTCAATAGTGGACATACGCTGTCCCACACTTCCACTGCTTTAGAATTATTATATTATGATTTTGTCTCATGAAGGTTCATAACCCTTCAGTTTTATTAAAGTTTATATAACTTATAAATAGTGGAATTCAAAACAACAGCAAAGAGCATTCCATTTTACGGAAAGGGAAAAGATACCAAACCACCTTAACAAAGCGGAGGAAAAAGAACAGCATGCTAGCGAATTTGGAGAGAGTAACTCTGTCATTAAGAAGAAGCTGAGAGAGATTAAAGCCGCATATTTGGTTAGTTATTATGGCTCTCTGCAGTCTTCCAAAGGGAAATCTTGGCCATGCAGAATTAAATCTGAGACTAAATATTTCATGAAGTGGCTTGGACAGCACACACAAAAATCTACATATACATCAGTTCATTACAGCTTTGACTGTCAACATCATATTCTTTGTCTTCCAAGTATTAGGAACTATAGGCCTCACTGGCAAATGACATCTACATTAAGAACCTCAGAAGCTGAATTTCCAATGAGCTTTCTGGGGTGTAATACACTAACAGCTCCAATATGTAATTCCTATTTATGAAACAATAGCCACTTCATTAAATTCCCTACAATTACATTGTAGGGAAGAATGGTTTTCACAAAAGAAACTGCTGCTTCTGCTAATGATTATAGAGAGCTGTTAGGGAAATCTGACTGGTAGTCAGCCTCAAGGGACGGTTGTCCCAATGATTTTTATGGTACAAATACAAAGAAATTCTGGACAAAATAATTTTGGCACAAACTCGCCACTTGAATAGAAATGGCAAGGCATTCACAATGCAGAGGGAGATGTCTGCACAAGGGGATACACCCAGGTTAATCAAGATGGCTTTACATGCATGGGTCTGATACCAAAAGGGGCCAGCATCTTTGCCCAACGCTGCAGTGTACATCTAGAAACATTTATATCTAGCCTGGGTATCTTAGGTATAGCACACAAATGTATGGCTACACTCTGCAATGCAGGGCTTTATAAGAACCAGCTCCAAAAGAGAGGGTACGTTTACATAGCACAGTGCAGTCCATGTAAATATGCCACCTTGAGTCCCCCCAGAAAATGAGCTCTGTTGCACCACATTGTGGAGAGACTAGTTTGGAATGAGTTAGCTTTGGAAGAGAAAGCAAGAAAGCCATGCTAATGTGGATCTCACTCCCAGATCTGCATCAGTTCAGGTCTATGTCTTCACACCACTGCACAGCAAGATGCAATGTACCTAAAAATACAGTCATGGTATGATATAAAAAGTAAAAATGGAATATGAAACTGAAAATGAGGTATAGGTGTTATGGGAGAAAAACAGCAACAGGAAAGAAAAAAAATGATACTTCATCTCCATAAGAAGCCCAGGCCTGTCACCACATTCATACCATCTCTCCTGACACACACCATAAGCACTGAAGTGCCTAACAGGTTAAAACACAATGTTACATTCATTTTCCTTTTTCTCTGCTTAGCCCTTTGTTTTCCCCGTCCTTGAAAGCACCCTCTGCTAACACAAGTGTCAGGGAGCTTCTCAAAATGTCATCACTGGGGGACAAAGATTTTTATGAAACCCAACAGCAACGACTGCAGCTATATAATGATTTCCATTGTTTCTCTAAAACAATTTGAACTTTCAAAAGAGATAAGAGCAACAGTCACAGAACCTCTAATATATCATTAAAAATGGCCTTTTTTTTTTAAGCCTTATGGCTGTTTGTTGTTGTTGGTTTGGTTTTTTCCCCATCTCAGAGAACTCTTTTGGAGAGAGATCAATAATTTATCCACTACCCTCTTCATTTTTATAGTGCTGAGCACTAATGAACTAGTAGATAAAACTATATGAAGACGTCAGACGTGTAATTTCATTGTACTTTACCTAAAGCGTAAGCACAAAAGGTGGTAAAAGCACTGAACAGCCACACCCAGGTGGGAACAAGTCCAGGACTGGTACCTGAAATAAATCAGGTAGTGAGTCAGTGTAGCAGTGGTTAACATCAAAGAAGTCCACCGAGATATGCATATACATATGAGCAAGCTGCCACTGATTAGCCCACTACGTCAAACAGATTGAAATATTTGTGTCTGACCTTAAGTCATCAGTGAGCTCTATCAAAGAAGCAATGAGCGGGCTTGAATGTGTTTATACCATAAAGAAGAGAAGATAAGGTAGAGTTTTTTTGGTCCTGAAATGACTCTAGTATTGCACAAAATAATGATAGTAACCAGGCAAAAATTTTAACAGGTCATGGGAAGACTATCCATCCACAAATTAGCTAATGTTTATGTAATATCTAAAGACAAAAAGATGTCATTTTCAAGCATGATCTTTATTATTAGCGCCAACGTGGGGTTTGTATAGCACTTCCACCATACAGATCTGAACAGGAAATTTTTGTCCTTCGGCTAGGACAGGTATTAGCACCCTTCTTTTTTCCTTGAGAAAAAGGAAAAGCAAGCTGAATTGGGCAGAACCCAGGGTTCCGTTATTGCTCCGCTGATAGCAATAACCCATGGTTATTGTTGCTCTTTTAAAGAAATCACTCCTTTTTCCAAAGAGCGTTCTATTTAACTTAAACATAATCCAATAAAGACTACACCAGCACTAAACAACTGTAAGTGCAAAGCCCTCTCAGGTTTCTGGCATTCGGCACCGAACACAGGGAATACTTGCACACAGAGGTGTGTCCTTGCTGAACGGGGAGATGCCAGTACCTAAAGCAGTGCCCTGACCATCTTTCTCTCAATGCCTCGTCTTGCCGCTCTGAAAGAAAAGACAGCAATTCCTGACTCCTAGTTGCAAATTTTCAAACTGTAGAATGAAAACCAGCTGCCCAGGAAATTAAGTCTTTTATTTCTGATCCTAGGTATGGGATTGATATACGATACTCAAAAGGCTCATTAGGTTGCATGAACGTTTTCAATCAATTGAGAAATGAGGGGCACTGTTCTTGTGTGAAAGCAAGAATGGGCTTGCACATAGAAATCTCAGCTCTAACAGACTTAATTGCCATTTCAAACATCTTCAAGTTCAATGTGTATCTACTGGGAATGTGTCAAGATAAAATTATCCCATTAAAAGATCTGTGCTGGATGCTCTTTTATTACAGAACTTAGTAAATATCAGCTGCATTGATAAAAACCCAAGTGTTTAAGGATGAGGCCAGATAACTACATAACATGCTGGTCCTGAAAACTTAATGCTCATGCAGGATTATTTTTGAACAAAAACTGCTTACAAGTACCCCTGCCTCTAGAATTGTTGTGATAACTGTACAAACAGCTCAAGCCAAAGGGTACCTCCTGAACCTAACCACAAGCATAAGAAATTAAAGGCAGCAAAAAAACCCCAAACATAATTGTTTCAGGAAATAAAAGTGTTAAGTCTTCACCAAATTGTCTAGTTTAAAGAAAGGCAAAGATTTTTATATATTAATCACCTGGGAGATGCTTACTACTTTCTGTAGGCTCCAACAGCTGGTCTGAGAAGCCCAGAACTGAACGTGCCCTGCGCTCAGGAGCAATCAGCTCCAAAAAGCTTTTGACTTGGTCTGCCATGAGGAGCAAATAGGGACTTGGACTTTGAAAGTCAACATTTCAAGAGACATTTGTCTAGAAACTATTTCTTCTTTGTCTAGAAGCAGTCTTGAATGGGGGGTTGGAGTAATTAAAGGGAAATTAACTCATCCAGGCATGGATTTAGGTATTGGGAAATGTGAAACCAGTGAAAATTTTATGAAGAACATTAGGGTGTTTTTTGGCTGTCTATGTAAATCCTGGCGTACACTTTAAATGAAATGAGATATTACCATAGACTTCAAGCAGCACGTGCTGAAACCCATATTCAGGGATGAGATTAAATAAGGTTTTTCAATAAAATTATCTAAATTTATAATGCCATGTGTGAGGTCAGATCCTCCTATATGCACATGGAGCCTCATTAAGGGAATGAGTGGATGACTCAAGTATCTGATACGTCCCTGTATCATTCAGAAGTATGAGATAAGCAGCTCACTGATTCTGAAAAATTACAACATGAGGATATTTACCTGAGGCCGTGTAGTCCCAGTCATAAAAAGATATTAGAAAATAATTAACTAAAATCATGACAAATCCAGAGAATGTTAACAGGTTGGGAGCAATCCACAAAGGCACTATCTGTTAAAAAAGAAAGAAAAAAATCTAAGAAAAATTACATTTCAAATTGTAAGTCTTATTTTAATTAAATATTTTTTATTTTTTATCAGGAAAGGAGAAACCTGTATATGACATCAGCAAGGTTCAGATTTGTGCATATTTTCCCATTTTCAAATTAAAATACAGTTTTCATTTCTGAAATTTATTTTCAGATGTAATCCTTTTGCCTGATATTTTTGACTGCAGTTAAAATATCATTTAAAAATGTCGTATTTCCTATGTTATACACCATCCTTATTTTCCCAGCCACCAAGGAAAGCTTCTCGCGGTTGTGTGTATCACAACTGAAAGAAGACTGCAGCACCCCAGTGGGGTAATTCAGCATCCATGTGGCAGGTTTTTTTAAGCATCCTATTCCCACACTATAACAAGGAAATTTCCTCTTCTAAAATATGTTAATAATTTCCAACTCAAAACATCAACAAAATCAGACACTGAGTGCATTACCCTTTTAGGTCCCCGTTACAAGCAGCTCCCTACTTCTCCAGATAGTAACTTTCTGCAGGGTCTCCCTCTTTAGTCATGAATTATAAACACTCCATCAATTCGTTTGACTTGTAGAGTGCTGAAAAGGAGTCTCCGTCTTCACCTAAGTCTCCAATTCTTTGTCCCATAAGCGTTCTCAGCTATTCATCCCCTGTGGCTTTAAGGTATTCCTTACACTGCAGCAGGGATCCTTTCTGGTAACACTCTCTCCAAGTAACAGAGTTTCTCCAAAATACTTTCTGAAACAGCACACACAGCTTTCTACATGATTTTTAGACAGAATACATTTGCAGAAATACTAAGTATCAACCGCTACCGTCACTCAAACACAGTATCAATATATTCAAAATATAAAAATATTGGAGGCTTATAATCAAATTCTTTGGAGTGCCTAAGGACTGAAAATGTATGTAAAACTTCAACATTTATAATCAAATTCTTTGGAGTGCCTAAGGACTGAAAATGTATTTAAAGTACTTCAACATTATAAAGTATTACAAAACGATATTAAAGAAAAAGAAGCTAAATGAATTCAGATAATAATAATAGTTTTGAAATCAAATGTTTTGTTAATTTCTTTGAAGTAGCTAGATGGACAGACAGATGACTACATATTAATTTATATACATCTTTACATTTCCCCTATCCTATTACTACATGAAAAATTTTCATATAGAAGTTGAATGCTTGGACTGATTAATTATCCCAATTAGATCCTCTTTTTCTACTATAGAACAATTAATAATATTTAGGAGAAATTGTGCAACTGATAATGTACAGTGTAAACTTTCAAAAATCAGATGAAAATTCCTGAATTTTTCAGTTATATTTCTTAGATGTTTTCTTCAATAACGTTAGGAAAAATATTAAATCTGATAGTTGCTTTCCTTATAAGCAGGATTTTATCACTAAGTTTAAAATACTGTATGTCAGCTCTTACAGTCTTTAAAATACATCACAGAATGCATACAGCTACAATAAAAAATCTTAACGTGTCTATCATTCTGAGTCTTCAAAAGCCCAATTCTAAATCCCTAAGAACAAGTGGCAGCAAATGTTCCCTGAAGCTCCTTTGGGAGAACACCTGAGGAGGAACCCTTCACTGCACGGTCCCCTCTTCTTACGTTGCCTGCACGCTCAGCATGCAGCGACAGCGGCACATCTCCTAAATTTGCTACCTGGGGATGCAGAAACCTTGTAAGAGGGAGGCTTGGTATGAATCGCCTGCTGTGGAGTTTGTGTGGTGTCTATGACATTACACGACATAAGAAGGACAGATGCTGAAGAAATTCTAGATTGGTCTCTTTTAATCTAAAACATAGATCAAAATAGTGTGTTAAGACAACCTGTGGATGAACCGTGGATACATGGATACACAGGTGTCATACAACGTATTGTTTTAAAATGACTGATTTCTCCTGTATGATTCATAATTGTTGACTATTGAATAAAATGGGGCGCCATAAATGTCTGCTTTCTGATTAGGCTCATCATTCTAAATAGTCACAATGTCATTATTAAGTTATTACAGGAAATAATTTATGCTTACACTGTGCAAACATGAAGACGTTACTTTAACCCACTTTCTTGCTAACATCATGTATTTTAAGAAGGAAACCATCAAAGCACGTTGCTGTACTTGCAATCCGTTTGGCTAGTAGACACACCATGAAAAACAGTTACAGGAGATCTGTCCTCAGGAAAACAGCCTCTCCTTCAGTTAAACCCCTAAGCATACTGTTTTGATCCTTACCGAACCTAATCTGCCTAGGTATTTGGAAAGTATTCCAGTTGCAAAATCCCTTTTGTTATATTTAATGTCCCTTATTCTTCTGGTTGGCATTACACTACCATCACCCTATTTCACAATTCAAAAATTACAGGGTGTTAAAGATTAACTTCTAACACATGTTGGAAAAATACAGCCTGAATTTACTAGTATCCTATAGAAGGATAGGTTGCAATCTTTATTATCTAATTAACAGACAGTAGAAGTCTCATACATCAATGTGCTACAGGATTAATACAACTGGAGGTGCCACTGGGGAGAATCACGTCTGCTCTCTGGCAGAACCATTGTATGCTTGAACCTTTTAAAAAACCTTCAGTTCCACAAACTACTAACTGATTTCTGTTTTAACGGGTTTACAGCCATTCATGTTAAAAGCCTTAATACAAACAGCAAATGTTTTAATACATCAACTGTCTATTTGGATAACAAACGGTAAAGTACACATATTTATAGAAAGCTCTGTTCAAACTTGAAATATTCCTTAACTAACTCACTTGAAACCACTAAAATTCTACTCATGCCCAATTCTAGTGGTAAAATCAAATTAACGGGTTTACAGCCATTCATGTTAAAAGCCTTAATACAAACAGCAAATGTTTTAATACATCAACTGTCTATTTGGATAACAAACGGTAAAGTACACATATTTATAGAAAGCTCTGTTCAAACTTGAAATATTCCTTAACTAACTCACTTGAAACCACTAAAATTCTACTCATGCCCAATTCTAGTGGTAAAATCAAAGTTCATAAAGCCAACGGGGGTGGTGGTGGGGTTAATTGACTTCAGTGAAGCTGGCATACACCTGTGTAACCCAGTGGGATTTCCTCCTTTTCCTCTCATTGTCCTGCACAAATGTGATTTTTCATGAATACAAATAGAGGAGGAATATTCAGTTCGTGTAGTAGCTAAGTAATACTATCAATTATCTGTCAGAGAGCACATGATTGTGCTTTATTATAAAATAAAAATCTTAATTAAAGGCAAAAGGACTGAGCATTGGATTAATTAAAGGTGAAATACCTAGAGTTGCATAATCAGAATAGTTTTAAATAACATGTAGAGAAAGTTAATTGTTACTCTGTAGTTTCATATAGGTGTTACTATAGTTTCATACAACATGGAAAAGCTGCCACGAACAGGAGTATCTCAGAGTGCTTCAAGCCCATTATAGAATTCAGGCATGAAACATTACCCTTCACTTTCTTCTTTAGCACCAGATTCAACAAGTTTCTGAAGCACATACATCCAAAAATCGCACTCAGACTGACACAGGCACATGATACAGTACATAAGAAAGATGTCCTTGGAAGAGGAAAGAGAGGAAGGTAACGCTCAGGATTTCCAGGTGAATTTCTAACTTAAGTGCACAAATTCTTTACTTTCCTAGCATCCCCACCACAGGTCAATGAGCTGGGTTATGACAACATAACGTTCTTACGTATGTCAACATCCCAGCTCATAAATTCCCACATCTTCTCTAACGTCAGGCTCTTCTTAATTTCTCATAAGACAGGAAATACATCTTACAATGAATGATAATGTCTCACAACATAGGAAACATCTTACAATGAATTCTGTGTTAGGGAGTAGAGAGAAACTTGTGTTGCAATTAGGACTACATTGACATATGAAAGGCCAGACCCAAATCCCAAGCCTCTGTTCTCACAATTTTTTTCTGCTTGGATCTGTGAATTTTAGGGGGGTTTTTAACTACTGTAGAATCTGGTAAAAATAGTCCCTGTGGAATGTTTATTTTCACCAGATTAGAAACTAAAACATAATTGATTCATATCTGCAAATGAATGTATTAGGATGTCTGAACTGAGAGAAATTACTTCTCCCAGTCATCAAGAAACACACTTGTACTGCCCAGTTTTGAATGAACGTATTAGATGCAATGTTTCTTCTTCTTAAAAAATTATCCCAGCTTTACTATATCTCCCCATTGCAATGCACTGTTCTATTTAAATAGAAATAGGACGATATATTGTAAAATGTAAATTCAATATTATATTCTAGATCACAAAATATTATAGTCTAGAGCACAGTCATAGCGCAGTTATAATGCTTACAACAGGTACAAGCTACAAAAAAAATCAATGACGAGTAAATGCATTCAAAGCTTCTCCTTCTAAAAATAAGACTTGATCACATTTATTACGATACCACTGTTTTACTTACACTTCAAGAGAAAAAAAAGTATTTTTTGGTGAACAGATGAGCAGAATTTTCTTGGACTGAGTTTGGGACAACGGTTACTGCCACACCTTGGTTTCAGTATCTAGCCAGGAACAAAACCATTCTAGCAACTTCCGTTCCTACTAATATTTTACAAACAGTTAAATTTTGGCCAATAAGTTTGATGCTCCCCCATTACTTACACTTCAAGAGAAAAAAAAGTATTTTTTGGTGAACAGATGAGCAGAATTTTCTTGGACTGAGTTTGGGACAACGGTTACTGCCACACCTTGGTTTCAGTATCTAGCCAGGAACAAAACCATTCTAGCAACTTCCGTTCCTACTAATATTTTACAAACAGTTACATTTTGGCCAATAAGTTTGATGCTCCCCCGGTTCTCATTTTTATCTCTAGGAGCAACCAAGATGACTCTACTGCAATCTCCATTACATACTACTTTCCCCTCTGCAGCTGTGCATTCCCCAGCTCCTCTGCAGGACTCTGATTTTACCCGGCAGTATCTTTTAACGTTAGGATGACTACTTCTACAAAAGCTGAGAGCAATATCATTTCCCTTTAAATCTTTGTGATACATCGCTGAGAATTATCCTGTAACGCTCTTGCACCCGAAGGCAAAGCAGAACATTCATTGCTGTATCTTCAGGGTTCAAACCAAACCAAATGCCAAAGTACAGACAGCAGCCACTCCAGTCTTTGGTTCTGTACTCAGATCTCCCAGCTTTTGAAATAGGTTTGTGCTCTGATTTGGGTTCTCCTCCAGCAAGAAGTGAACAAAATCATGCTCACCTAAAATTTAAGGAGGTTTAAAAAAATCTAAGGAGGTCACATTTTTTAGGATCTATCACCCTATGCTACATGGGCACAGTCAAGAATGTCGCTTTTCTTCTGGGAAAACCCTGCAACCATTAGAAGAACTTGTCTCCAAAGGAAGTTTTTCACTGATAATACTCTCCCTTCAATTTGATAGCAGATGAATACCCAGGATCTCCTAAACCAAAGTGCAAGTGCACAGTAAAGCCTCTGCTCATCTCCCGTGCTGGACTCCAGAGTGCTGGGGAGGCTTTTCTGCCTCATTGTTTTCCTCAATATTACGATGGGAATGAAAACAGAGCCTCTGAACTGAATTATTGACTTCAGTTTCACATCTTTGAATTGTTTTTCTCTCATACCATGTTCGGTTTGCTTTTTAATTCTTAAGTTAGGTCATATAAACACTTTCATGAAATTACATTGAGGTTATGAACGAGAGATTATGATTTTCCTGCTATATCAAGCATAAGCAATACCTGAATTATAGAACCCAAAGATGGCAGATCCAACAGCACTCTGGCAACACACATCCTTTTTTGTTTGTGTAAAGGTTTGTTTTCAAGTCTGCTCCAATCTAAAGATTTCCCCTAAAGAGGCAGATGCAGAAGTCATTGCTTCCTTGGAGATCAATAAAGTTCATATTTATTTGAGATACAGCTTTTTTTCTGCCAACAACAGCAAAACTAATTGTGAGCGGTTTTATTTTTAAAAACTGCAGATCATAATGCATTCAAGAGATGCCATCTTCCAATCGTTACGGTGATCATGGTAACCGCTCTCATTTTCAGCTTCTTAGAGAAATGCCTAGCTCCCTCGAGCAAGTACCCTTGGGAGAAAATGAGACAGCACTTGCATAAAATCATGTGCACAGCACAGAGATAAAGCCATGCTGTTGTTAGGCGGCATATGCTGCACAAAAATAATTTGTACTAAGTAAACCCTTCAATGTCTGCAAAGCTGTTTAATGAAAGATGTTATAATGAAAGATGTAAAAAAGAAGCAGATGCCTTTTGTATAGCCATCAGAAAAAAAAAAAAACAACCTTGTTTTTCTAAAAAAAACCACCTCAAAATCCAAACATACTCATGTTAAATATAGCTATATATCCTGTAACATTTGGGGGTTTTATACAGATGTCTTAATTTCAGCTTTATTAATCAATATGTATTTTTAAATGAAAATACATGCTGTATTTAAAACAAATTCTTACATTATCATGTGCTATTTCTATTAAATAAAATTCTTACCTTAATAATTTTGTTCCAGAGGGGCTGCATAATATACACAGATAAAGGATTTGTATCCACAGCACTGTACTGTGAGGAAAAAAGCAAACATGTTAAACAAAGCACTGAACAATGCATATTTTTCCATCACCGTATACCCTTCAGCATCTAAGAACAATCACTCTGAGTGTGACTGGTGTAAATTTATTTTATTCTGATGACCATTCATACAGTTTTAATTTAATTTAAAAGCACTGGCCTGGTTTACAATTACCTTGTTAGCAACTGTATGTACTAACACAAAGGTTTAGGCTGGTGAAAAGGCAAACAGTTCCGTAGTCACATTTTACTTCTAAATTCCTATTAATTTTACAAGTTATCCTATAAGACTCTGCATTTCTTCAGTATTTTGGATTTAATACCTTTATTTGCCCTACTAGTAATGCATAGTCTGAGCAGCAGTTCATTGCTAGTACGTAGAAGAGATAGTGCATATGGAATATGGTTGTAAGTGGAATATCATCTCGCAGAGATATACAGCTTTTGACATAGTAAAACAGTTGCTTTTGCACTACGCTAATTAATGTAAGGCAATGTTATTATAAAAATAAGCTCTACAATAGCACAGTTCATTACCACAATAAAATTTCTCTATTGGACAGACTTGTAAAAATATTATAAGTGTTTTATAAATTCCAATAAGTACATATCTGTATCTTTTTCAAACAAAATATTTCAGAAATCCGAGCCCTCCCCAAATTGCTGTTGTCTACCTTCTCCTCAGAGGACCGTATCAAGTTTTATCCCGCCTTGAGACTGCAGAACACAGAACAATCTGCAGAAGAACGATCTTAACTGATAATACCACGCACTACGTTCTTGAGCCCTGGTGGGTCCACAGTGGAAGAAGTTAGTCATCACTGAGGTGGTACACGTAATTCTTTCAGAAATTCTTGGACTTTGAAAGTGCACGTATGTTATGTTGTTAGCACGATGCATATGACTCACATAAAGATTCAGATATATCTACATACAGCATTGTCCAAACATTGTGCGCGGACACTGGGAATAAGATAGGGATGTGTTAGACCACAATTTGTCGAAGCTGTTCATATGCAGAAGAGCTGATGACAGAGAGGCTTTCACTTCACCTAACTTCAGCTAACAGCTAATTGTTCTCTCTATAGTTAACAGGGTCGACCTCTCTTAGCCAACTACCCTTTGGATGAGATTGCGCTCTGGAAGTACCCGTTTCAAGTCATTAATTATCAAAGGAGCCTAGACACTTGTCTTAAACTTAGGCACCTTTTAGGTTACTGAAGTCTGGCAAGATTAATCTCAGTCTCAGTATCCCCATTCACCAAGCTTTTACACACACACTTAACCTGCACACGTCTGAGCTAAGAGCGTTCAGTGGACAAGCGCAAGCGGGACAAAAGACTAATGCAGCATGCCTCAGGTTTTGAACGCACAGTCTATGACTTTTCGTCTAACCTTTCTGAGGATATCAGGCTACGGAGTGCTTACGAACTCTTCCACACTTTTCCTTTTTCTATCTGCATACAAAGGATACGTTTTAATTACTTTCTGGACAAAACAAAGCATTTGCTTAGTTATTTTGTAATTTGTGGTTAAGTTTTAACCACAGATAATAAATGTAGTATACTTGTAAAATTATTATAACACAGCTACATGTTGTGAATGCATATTGGCAAATATCCAAGAAACCACCTATCAGCTACTGGTCAGACCAGGCAGACTAACTTTCCACAGGGAATAAAATGTACAGTTTAGTGAAGTGCACATCACTGATTTTTTTTCTAAAAATATTGGAAGTGTCACTGAACTGTATCATTTTTCTCTGCTTCTGCCACCCATATTACTTAAAACATGAGACAATTCTGTCATCAACAGCTTTTCTGCCAGAATATGTATTAGAATTCTTAAACGCATTACCTCAGAAAAAATGAATTTGCAGGTAAAACTAAAGTTTTCACTATTCTGTATGTATTTGCAGCTCCAGACACTGTATTTTATACTGTATCTTTCAAACATTGATTATTACAACTGATTGATCTTTTGATGGTCCAGCTTGCATGCGAATTAACCCAGTCTGAACTGTCCATGGGCTTTGCTTATATTTATGCCAAATACAACAATAATACCAAGCCATACAATACCTATGCCAATAGAACAGTCAGCTAGTACTTAATTCACATGAGAATTATGGAAATCCTCTGAAAATGAAGAAAATTCAAAGTATCCATTAGCACTACTGAGGTTCCAGGTAATCAGGAATCTGCCCAAAGTTTCTCTGTAGCTATTGCCCATTTCCTTACCTCAACTGGTATTCAAAGACTATGTGAGGTACATGATAATTTTCTGACCAACAAATTCAATGAATTCAGCCATACCTGGATAAGAATGCGCAAAGGTCAAAATATGTGACCTTCACTCCTGCTCCTGCTTTGGCTTTCTCCTTCTCCCCTCCACCCCAAACCTTCAAAGTCATGAATAAAATCACAAAATCCTAGTTAAATAACAACAGTAAAATGAGGCTTTCCACCCAATGTACTCACTGACTGTCCAGCACTACTTGCTTGCAGGAGAAAAAAAGGAAAACCAATCTCATTTCTTTAGAATTATTTTCTTACACAGAAAATATATATTTCTTAAATGGAAAATATAAGATATTAAGTAGTTTTCCAACATATCTCTATATAATAGACCCAAACGTAAGACACAGTCAGATTTTTGCTAGGTTGACAGTTTCCAAACTCAAGCACCAAAAATCAAAACAGTCCTTATTAAAAAAAAATTAGAATTACAGCCAGCTTCTGCCACCTAAAGACATTTCAAGACCCGTCACACTTCATCCTGTTCATTCCTATGTCTGTGGCTGAACCGTGGCCCTCCACGCGGGGAAGGAACATTCAGCAGATGTGCAGAAGAATGGAAATTTGCTCTTCCCTCGTCAGTAATCTGTTTTAGCCAGACCAAAGGAAACACCCGTGGAAAAAGCACCCTGCTAGTTTTCTGTCACGGCAAAAATAAAACTTGACAAATAAAATCTGCTATACAGTTTAACACTCTGCTTTGCTCTGCTCCCAAGAAGCGACTAACCTCAAGGCCATGAAATCCTCAGAAGTTTAATGTTCATGGCTGCTCAGAAAGGCAAATCACTGAGTAACATGCCGACGTTACGATCAATGAACATGAATGCGAGAGTGCAATGAACCTGATGTAAAAAAAGTACTGCCATTTGCTATTGCATAATTCTGTCCTTTTCAGGGCATTTACATTAAAAGACAGAAGTGGAGGATAAACCTGTTGGAGGTTTTTAAGCGCAAGACTGATACAAGTGCTAAGCACTCCCCAGCAAACACTTTCTGCGCTAGAAAAGGGATCTTGATTGTCCTTATACAAAGAAGGGCTTGGATTAATCAGAAAGCTTCTGCTAATTATTTTTTAAAGAAGTTGTAATAGTTGGGAGGGAATGGCAGTAGTGAGGAAATAGGAAAAATGGTATGAATAAACTCCATCTTACTCCCAAGTTCAAAAATGCTTCTGCTGTTTTTTTTAAATAGCTGATATCTCCTTGAAAGCCATCTGCTTTCCCTCTCTGTGTTTATAACGGCTTCTAGCAGAGCTAGAAATGAGAATACAGACAGCAGACACGTGCACACATACATGTTGACTCAGGCAGCACATGTAAAATGTGCTTTTACTCTGTGTTCCTGCATCTTAATCTCCATCCAGGTGATCCAGCGCAGCATCAAGTCTGTACTGGTCAGCTGTGTTAGAGGGAAGAGGAAAGATGAGAGGATTAAGGTGAAGGGGGGAAAAGGTATAAACAGTAAGAAAAGTAAGAGTGAGGAAAGAAAAGTAATTGAGAAAAACAAGAGAAAGAAAAATGAGCCAAAGCAAAGGTTTGGCTACACAGCAGAGAGACAGCTGTTCTGGAGCGGCAGAGCAGAGCCAACCCACCCATGGGTCAAAAGCACTCGCAGTGACCAAGGCCTGCACTGCTAAATACAAGACCAACGGTACCTTCTGGCTCACATCCACACAGCTTAGAAATACCTCCCCTTATTGCAAACTGGTCACACCCACACCTCACAGCGCTTGGTGGAGGGGTTTTGGGCCTCGTTATCTGACCCCGCGCACCCAATACATTATTAGCACTGAGTATGTTTCAGTTCAAAGTATCTAAAACAATCTGGAGATTACGTTGTAACCCAGCAATACTGCATTTTCAGAACATGGAAGTGAGAGTTGTGTGTTGTGCATGTTCAAAGATCCAAATGTCCATGCTGGGAGAGTGTTGTAGGACGGCGAAAGCCAAAAAACAGTGCGTACCGCCTCCAGAGTGGACTATCTCCAAAACAAAGCCTAGCTATTGTCTTGGAGAGACCTTCCGGGAAAGAAAAAAGAACCAGGGAGTGAGCTAACCGTTAATCAGAGCAGACAGCTGGATCTTCACTGGGCTCCCTGGCCTTCTCCAGCCTTGCACTGTGGAGGTGTCCCAAGAATAAAATTTTGGAATGGCTACAACGAAGAGAAGAATATAAAGCATGCCCACACAAACTTCAGAGTCAGGAGAGAAAGCAAGTTGCAAGAAACGTAGTTGCAATTACTGCTGGGAGGCAGTTATTTTAACTCAAGCTGGTCCTTACGCTAACAGACTATTCCTTTTCTGTACTTAAATTAGCTTATTCCAGGTAGCACCGAACTACGTGCCATACAGTCATATCCATTCAGAGACACAAACTGTTGTGAATTGTTTACATTTGAATTGTTGGCATCAAAATGACTCCGTAGGTTTTAATTTCATATTAGTAGCAACAAATTTGCAACACTTCACTTTCCTGCCGAGAAATCAGCAAATTTTAATTTTTCATTAACTTCATGAATCAGCACAGCATTTATTATCTCCATTGTATACACTGGAAGACTGAAGCACAGATGGGCTGTGATTCACCCTAAGAGTATATAGCAAAGGGTACAGCCACAATATTTTTAGAGGTGTCATATTTATATACATAATTTAAGTATAAGCAATACCAGTTTATTCAAATAAAGTCTG